ATTCACTGTAGGGGCACTAACATTCTAACTGGTTGAGATGAATTGGAAGAGACTCTAAATAAGTAAAATTTATGAATGAAAATTTTAGGACTTAAAGGTTATTTTTAAAAGCTGATTATTACATAAAACTCTCCTATCACACTATCACATAAGGTAACTGCATATGTAATCTGCAGCATTTCTTACATGTCCTAATCATAATGTAGAATTCAGAAAACAAAGAAAATAAACAGATTTGCTGCTCTAAGTCTCACTTTTTTTAAAAGATTTATTTATTTATGTGAAAGTCAGAGGTACAGAGAGGGAGAGAGAGCTTCCATTCTGGTTCACTCCCCAGATGGCTGCAAAGGCCAGGGCTGGGCCAGGCCGAAGCCAGGAGCCAGGCGCTTCATCCTGGTTTCCCGTGGGGGGCAGATGGTCCAAGTACTTGGGCCATCTTCCACTGCTTTGCCAGGCGCATTAGCAGGGAGCTGGATCAGAAGTGGCACAGCCAGGACACAAACCAGTGCCCATATGGGATGCTGGCGTCATAGGTGGCAGCTTTACCTGCCACACCACAATGTCAGCCCCTAAGTCTCTCCTTTCTGATAGCATTTTCTTTCAAGACTATTCAAGAACACGGAGGATCTCAGTCTGGATGAAAGGTCACTGGTTATAAATGGGGATAGTCTCCCTGTGTCAGTAGGCTTGCCCAGAGTTTGCTGCTTCAGGAAGGCCTTGGGCCTGATGGTAGAGCTGGGGTCAGGGGGGCGACAGGGAGCTGCTGCCCTCCTGTGGCCATCCGGGTAATTACACCCATGGCTGTTCCCAGGTCCTGCGGAGACTTTGTAATTACTAGTTACTGCCAGGAACACAGGGCAGGAAGCATGGGAGGAAAGTGGGTTTGCCTAGGAACAAGAGCCAGGAAAACATCAGATAGTACTGTCTACACGGCCCCATTAGTACTCTCAGCTTGCTGAGGCCTAGAAAAATATGCATTACGAGCATTGTAGGTTTTGGTATTATACATTGATTTTATAATCACAGTCGTATATGTTTAAGATAGAAGAATAAGAGTTTGAACATTTGTGTGGGGCCAAGAAAGACCATAAAATCTAGAAATACAGAACAATTAAAGATGAGAGGGGTAGAAAATCCTTTAATAAAGGCCAACATTGTGGTATAGCGGGTAAAGCTGTCACCAGTTTCTGTCCAGGCTGCTCCACTTCCCTTCCAGATCCCTGCTAAAGGTCTGGGAACCAAGGGCTTGAGCCCCTGAATTCACATGGGAGACCCAGTGGAATTCTTGATTCCTGGCTTCAGCCTGGCCCAGCCTTGGCTATTGTGGCCATCTGGGGAGTGAACCAGTGGATGGAAGATTCTCTCTTTCTCCCTCTCTCTCTCTTTGTAACTCTTTCAAATAAATCTTTTTTTTAAAAAAATAAAATGTTTTAACACCAAGGGTTATATAAATAGAGGGTAAGATCTGGCTGAAGTTGGGGAGGATGCTGAAAAATTGGAATTTACACATGGCTGATGGAGAAGGGAAGTTGTTGTGGGACTTAGTACGGCACCTCCTCAACACACTACCTATGGAATTACCGTGTGATTCAGCAACCCTATTTCTAGGGATACACCCCAAAAATTAAGCTCAGGAGTTCAGATACTCATATTCATGTTCACAGCAGCATTATTCACATAGCCAGAAAGTGGAAGTGACCCAAATTTCCCTCAACAGATGAACAGATAAACAAAATGTGGTATACGCATAAAATAAAACATCATGGGTCCAGCGCTGTGGTGTACAGGGTAAGGCTGCCGCCTACAGTGCCAGCATCCCATATGGGCTCTGGTTTGAGTCCTGGCTGTGCCACTTCCGAGCTAGCTGACACTATGGCCTGGGAAGGCAGAAGAAGATAGCCCAAGTCCTTGGGTCCCTGCACCCACGTGGGAGACCTGGAAGAAGCTCCTGGCTCCTGTTGGATCAGTGCAGCTCCAGCCATTGCGACCATCTGGGGAGTGAACCAGTGGATAGAAGATCTCTCTCTCTCTTTGCTTCTTTGTAACTCTGCCTTTCAAATAAATATTTTAAAAAAAAGTACTTAAAAAAATGGAATATCATTCTGCCTTAACAAGAAAGAAAATTCTCACATGTGGTGCAATGTAAATGAGCCTGGAAGACATTTTTGCTAAGTGAAATAAGCCAGGCACAACAGGACAAATATTGTAGGCATCTGCTTACATGAGTTAGTTAGCACAGTCCCATTCCCAGACACAGAGAACAGAATGAGGGCTGCCAGGGGCGCAGGAGGCAGAACGGGAAGTGATTGTCCAGTGGGTAGAGTTTCTATTCAGGAAGATGAGAAACGCTCTGGAGATGAATGGTGGTGATAATAATACAATAATGTGAATGTATTTAATGCCACTGAAGGTACACTTAAGAACAGTTAAGGTTTTTCATGTTTTGTGTATTTTGCCACAGTAAAATATTTATATATGTATATATATACAGAGTATATACAGTAAAATATATATGTATAGAATAGCTCTCATATATATATATGTGTGTGTGTGTGTGTGTGTGTGTGTATATACATACTGATTCTGGACCCCACAAAGGACTGATCGAGTGAGGTGGGGGCTTGGGGAAGAGAGTAGGGCCTGAACATGGGCATTTTGGAAAAGCTCCGCAGGTGATTCCTGTGCACAATGAGGGGGAATTGGTTAGGCAGCCCTAACCAGATGGTGTCTAAGATTCTGTTTTGCCTGCACCGTCCCTGACTCTCAGTAAACTGACCCAACAAGAGAGAGTAAAGACTGCCAATACCTTGCCCCAGTCTCATAAATAAGAAGAACTACTTCCTCGGGTACATTGCCTGAATCCAAATTGATAATGATTCACCATGTTTTTCCACATTATTGTTAATTAATTAATTACATTTCTTTTCTGAAAATAAACTAATCTTTTCAGAAAACTCAATTTGATAGATGTACAGTTCTCTACGGAGTTAAGATTTTAAGGACAATGGCAGATTCTAATATAAAATGTTCTTACAGAGAACCCTGTATTCAGCAAGAAGCTATTTTGTCAGACAGTCTTTTCTGGAAGCCTGATGTTTCTGTTTTTCTTGTCACAAATATTCAATATATTTTTAACCCAACACTTTATTGTTCCAGACAAAAGTATTTTAAAATAATAGACTTGTAAACATTTAAAACAATTGGAAAGTTTTCCATAATAACAATTTAAAATGAGACAACAAAAGGAAAACATGAGTTATTTTTCCAGAAATCTAATTGTTTTACAAAATAGTTTTGAAATATTTCACTGTCCTGATGCAATAATCACAGGATATTGAGCTAGTCTGCAGAATAAGGCTGAGAAAATTAAAGATGAAATGGGAAATATTTTTAAATGTTTTCTAAAATGAGACAATTGACACATGTGGAATAAAAAGTAGCTCTCTGTTCTAGGAACTTTTAAATATTTGATACACATAACTACAATGAATACTGAGTAAGAATTGTTTTTAGAAAAACAACAAGCTTATGGGACTGAAAGCTTCTAGAAGCCAATATTCAACATTTTTGTCTCATTCTTAGGACTCTGACTTGACATTTCCCCCTGTAAAACATATACAACAGCATTATAAGCTCCACGCAAAGGTTGTAGCTTAAATTTGCTGTATACCAACTATAGCTTATGCAGGTACTGAATCAATTCCCACCAAACAGAAGAGTGTATTTTTATGCTTTTAAACCATGTCAGATACTTGTATTCTACATTGTTTCAGAAAAGTCACATCTTGATATCAGAGCACTCAAAAGTCTTCATGACTGAGCGAGTCTCGTGGCACTGTGGGTTAAGCCACCACTTGGGATGCCCACATCCCATATCACAGTGCCTGGGGGTGAGTCCCACCTCTGCTTCACATGCACCTTTCTGCTAACGTGCCTGTGAAGGCAACAGAAGATGACTTGGAGTCCTGCCACCCACAAGAGAGACCCAGCTGGAGTTTCTGGCTGCTGGCTGCAGGATTTAGGGAGTGAACCAGCAAATGGAAGATTGATCTCTTTGCCTTTAAGTAAATAATTAAGCTTTAAAAAAAGGAATTGTGAATTTTTTAAAAAGTTCTGCTCATAAAATGTATGATTTTATAGAATAAACATTATGTTCTCTCTTGCCCTCTTTATCTCGTTCATTAAAAAAAAATTTACTGAACACTTTATGTGCCTTCACTCACTCCCATGGATGCAAAGATAGTAAATCACATTCTCCCAAGGGCTCCCAGTGAAGTGAGGGAGGCAGACAAACAGTGTATAACCTGCACTAATAAACATACAAACACATACATATATAATATGCATATGCAGTATGATTAGACACACTTAAGGGATTTGCAAAGGTACAGGGGAGAGGGGCATAAAAGGGGAGAGGGAGGGAGGAAGGCAGGACACATGTGAGTGTGTAGTGCCCTTTTGTTTCAATCTGAGAGCTCCTTATCTTTGTGGCAAGAAAGCATTAATAATGTTTTTAAAGCATTTTGGTTTCTGTATTTTATACCTAAACATTTAGATTTGGCTTTGTATGAAAACATCCAGTTTTAGAAAAACAAAGTAGAAAATCCTCTTTGATTTGGACAGAGAAGGTCTTCAGAAGGAAGAGATGGCTTCCCCAGTCTTTCCCAGCCCATTCCCTGCGAGGCTCCCCGCTAACGTCCCAACATCTGCTCCCAGCAGTGTGGCCGCCACCCCTGGGCTGAGGACCTGAGGAACAAGTCTCCCGTTCCTCTGTGATACTCCCACCAAGTATCAGCCAAGGAAAATTCTGAAAAGAATTCAGTCCAGGCCAATTACTATAATATATATATTAACATTTAACAAATACAGAAATGAGAAACATATACAACAATATATAATGTATAAATATTACAAATCATATATACAAATATAAATAATATAAATGTCAAGACCATCCAAAAAGCATCTCCAAAAGTCCAAATGTCTTCACGTGGCATTCCAGCATCTTCATAACCCGTCCCCCACCTTCTCCATCAGCCTCACCCCTCACCATTTCCCTTTGTTTCACGGTCCAGCGGTGTCTGATTGCTCTCAGCTGAAAGTAGTTAGTGCCTGCTCACACTTTCACACCGGGAACATGAGGATCCCCCTGCTGGGACGTGGAATCTTCCTGTCCCCACGCCTCCTCTTCAGCTCTCAGCCCCTCTGTGAAGCCATCCTCAGCTCCTCAGGCTGGGCAGATTCCCCACCATTGGTCCCCAGAGCACTTGGGCACCCATCTTCATATCAGTGTTTCTCAAACTTTTCCTGAATGTAAGATTCAACCACAATGTCTGATAAAGAACAGATTCCAGAACCTCAGCGGTTCCACAGAAGCCTGGCAATCTGCATGTTAAACTAGCGGCCTAGGGGAGTCTCATCTTCCCAAGGGTCTTGGGATCACTGCTTTGTATCACAGCACTTCTCTTGCAACGATTTGAGTTATCTGCCCTCCACAGCCTACAATCTGCATCTGCTCATGACTGCATTCCTGGTCACGGCACATGCTCAAATCAGGGAAAGAAGCAGAATATGAAGGAACGACAATTCTCAAGCATATGTATGCGTCTTAAGGTAAGAGTCCTGGAAACATCGGGGAATCACTTTTCTGACTTCTGCATCCTCGTGTTCCATGGCAAGGACACCTGACCTTTGTGAGTCTATTTCTTGTTCCACTAGTGACGGATTTTCCATTCTCTAGTTACTACACACCACTGAGAGCTTACTGATTAGGTTTCGGCTTTCTTTGCATGACGTGAGCATGTTAACAGTTCATGCTTTAGAGCTTTTTGTTTTCTGGTGTGAGTAAAGTAAACGGAATAATTTACATGATACACTTAGCACAATGGTTGTAAATAGGGCCAAATCGATGTGGTATTCGTAATGACAAAGACCAGACACGGTCACTTGGGACATGTCACTGTCCTCGTGAAGCCAAAGTACAAAAAGGAGCCCACAAGATGACTCTCTGAGCCAACCTGCAGGGTGCACTTCAAAACTTAAAAACTCTGTCCTGTGGCCACTTCTACATCCTTTATGACCAGCCTCTTCCTTGAACACTGTAAAAATCCATGTTTTACATTAAAAGAAAAATCCAGTATTGTCAAGGTAGACAGGAAGAGTCAGCATGCTAATGTAAACTTTGTCCCTACTTGGAAAAATTTGTCCTCGGAGGCTGGTCTCTAAGTATTTGTCTTTCTTTCTTTTTTTTAAGAAAAGATTTATTTTTTATTTGAAAGACAGAGTTACCAGAAAGGCAGAGTCAGAAGCAGAGAGCTCCTCAGATTGCCACAACAGCCAGAGCTGTGCCAATCCGAAACCAGAAGCCAGGAGTTTCCTCTGGGTCTCCCACACAGGTGCAGGGGCCCAAGGACTTGGGCCATCTTCCACTGCTTTCCCAGGCCATAGCAGAGATCTGGATGGGAAGTGGAGCAGCTGGGACTCGAACTGGCACCCACATGGGATGCTGGTACTGCAGGTGGCAGCCTTACCTGCTATGCCACAGCGCAGGGCCCTAAGTATTTGTCTTTCAAGTCTTAGCATCTTGTAATGTTTAGTACCTGCTCCTAAATACTGGTTTCCAAAGGACCAGAACTTTAATTACCACGCCAGCATTTCCCCATAATGTCCAGCATCAATAGATCAATACCAAAATGTCACGGATGCTGTGCACCCACTAGGAGAAAGGCGATGGCTAAATAAATATTCTGGGTCCAAAAGCCTGCAGGTTATTGGTCCTGTTTAACAGACAAAGAGGAGCAGAATGACAGGAGGCTGTGTTGTTGCCTAATCCTGGACAACAAACAGGAAGAAATATTAACCCATAGGATTTGGCCACATGCCCAGGCTGCTTAAGTGATAATCCAGAATGACTCTCAGCTCTAACTGGTTATCCCACCCCGTTAAGCCTCCTCCCTCAGCACATTTTTCTCCTGCTAAAGGCCTCTCTCCTTTAACAATGTAATCCTAACCTACTGGAAACCCACAAGATCCTCTAGGCGCTTCCTAGTTAAGCTGTTGAGGTTAACATTTGGATCAGGACAAACTTGCAGAGTCTGAGCTCCCACATCTGCTTCACCCTACTCTGGTGCCTTCTGTGAGATTCAGATCAGAGAGGCCAGGGGAAGGTGCACGTCTGGGGAACGTGGTCTCCCCAGAGTCTGCCTGTCTTAGGTTTATGACGTAATGATACTTGAACTCAAGAGTCTACCGTGAAGACACAAAGCATTTTTTTGACAGGCAGAGTGGACAGTGAGAGAGAGAGACAGAGAAAAAGGTCTTCTTTTGCCGTTGGTTCACCCTCCGATGGCTGCCGCGGCTGGCACGCTGCAGCTGGCGCACCGCGCTGATCCGAAGGCAGGAGCCAGGAGCCAGGTGCTTTTCCTGGTCTCCTGGTCTCCCATGGGGTGCAGGGCCCAAGCACTTGGGCCATCCTCCACTGCACTCCCTGGCCACAGCAGAGGGCTGGCCTGGAAGAGGGGCAACCGGGACAGAATCCGGCGCCCCAACCGGGACTAGAACCCGGTGTGCCGGCGCCGCAAGGTGGAGGATTAGCCTATTGAGCCGCAGCGCTGGCCCACAAAGCATTTTTAAAATTATTTATTTATTTATTTATTTATTTTTATTTGGAAAACAGTGAAACAGAGAGGAGGGCAAGAGAGAAAGAAAGATCTTTCATTCCCCAAATGCCCATGACAGCCAGGGCTGGGCCAGGCTAAAACCTGAAGCCAGAAAGTCTCTCTAGGTCTCCCACGTGGGTAGCAGGGACCTAACTTCTTGAACCATCACCTGCTGCCTCCCAGGATGTGCATTACAGAAAGCTGGATTGGAAGTGGAGGTGGGACTTGATCCCAGGCACTCTGATATGGAATACAGGTGTCCCAAGGGGTGGCTTAGCCACTGTGCCGTTCACCACTACCACCACCCCTAACAAGGTATATTTTTAAAGCCTCAAAGCTATGATATTTTAGATGTTTTTAAAACTGTACTTGAAAAGCAGAAAGACACAGACAGAAGCTGTTACCATCTACTGATTCATTCCCCAGATGCCCAGAAGCTGAGAACTCAATCCAGGTCTCTCATGAGGGTGGCAATGATCCAACTTGTTGAGCCATCACCTGCTGCCTCCCAGGGTGCACCTGAGCAGGAAGCTCTCACCAGCAGCTGGCCCAGGCACTTCGATGTGGGGCATTCCAACAGCATCTTAACAGCTGGGCTAAATGCTTACCCCAAAGCCATTACATTTTAATGTGAAACAGCTATAATAGCAAAACTAATCTAAACGTATTAGGGCCCTTATCCCATCTCAAGATGCACTTAAGCGCTTTTTGGTGGAAAGGCAACTACTAATGATACTTCCTTTTCTCTGATATTTAAAGTTATGAGATTGAGTGAAATGTGAGATTGAACAGAGAAGAGATGAGATATGATAAATCACTTCTCAAATAAATGATACTTCCCATTCAAAATGACTTGTTTGGAAAAAATCTGCATATCACTATGTGGTCTCGTTCATGTTACCCTTTGAGACAAGGCAATTATTGAGCACTTATTATATGCAAAGCATTATTCTGGGTAAAGCCTCAAATATTATCTTATTATTATCCCTCTCCTTTTATGGATAAAGAAATAAAAGCTTAGGGAGTTTAAATTGTTTGCCTATTTTTGAACATAGTTCAAAATCTTGTGCTAGATCAATACTTCTTCTACAAAAATATAAAAGCAAGATATCTTTGTATGAAGAGAAATTTAAAAGTAAAATTTTATCTTTCAGTTTCTCCCATTCAAGAAATATTTAAGGGATGCCTATTGAGTACTTACTTTATATTAGATCCTCTTCTAGACACTGAAGATGTGGTAGTAAATGGAACAGAATGTTACAGAGTTGACATCTGAATGGGAGAAGGAAAATAAGTGGATGTCAATAAACATGGTATGCAGTGAAAGCAGTAAGTGTAAGAGTTCCAGTAATAAATCTCCTGCCTTCATTTTTCTTATCCTAGCAATCAGCACCTTTATTTTATTTGTTTATGTATTTGAAAGACAGAGTTAGAGAGAAAGGTAGAGAAAGAGAGAGATCTTCCATCTGCTGGTCCACTCCCTAACTGGCTGCAACAGCTGGAGCTGAGCCAATCCAAAGCCAGGAGCCAGAAACTTTCTCCAGGTCCCTGACCTGAGTGTGGGTCCCAAAGACCTGGTCCCAAGACCCGTACTGTTCTTTATGTTTTCTTAGTTATTATTGAAGGCAGAGTTACAGAGAGGGAGAAAAGGAGAGACAGAGAGAGAGAGAGAGAGAGAGAATCTTCTACCTGCTGGTTCCCTCCCCAAATGGCTGCAATGGCTAGGGCTGGACAAGGACAAAGTCAGGAGCCTGACACTCCATCAGAGTCTCCCACATGGGCAGCAGCGGCTGTGGGCTTGTCTGCCAGTCACCTCTTACTGGAACCATCCTGCTGCAGATGTCATGACTCACTCCCTCCTATATTTTAGATCTAGCTCAAACTCACCGTGGCAGGGAGACATTCCGTGGGAGTCCCTTGTACCACTTGCGTCCTCTTACCCAGCTGACAGCCCTTGTCACTGATAGACAATACCAATGTACTTTTTTGTTTTCTTTTCAATAGAATGTAAGTTCTAGGCCAACCGGGAATTGTCCGTTTTGTTCACTGCTATATTCCTCCATTTGAACAATGCCTGCTACTCTGAAGGTAGCCCACACTGGCCGATTGAATAAATGGCTGTCAGGAGTTATTTACAAGTGATCAAAAAAAAAAAAAAAGTAGCTCAAATCAACTAAAAGAAGAAAAAAGGAATTACTGGCTCCCAGAACTTTCATAGAGCAAAATTTTGACAAACTGAGTGTAAATTATCTAAGGGACTTTCATGAGCTATTCATGAACCAGGAAGCAACACAGCTACAACATAGAAAGAGCTGAGCAGAAGGCGTGGGCTCCACAGGCAGAAAAAGGCTGAAGGAGGCAGGAACAAGTTTAAAAAGCAGACTCACTGCAAAGTTCCGTTCCCGATTGGGGTTGAGTTGAAGGGACTTCCTTATCATGCCAGCTCTGTGACTCTCCTTTTTTTGTTTTGTTTTAAAGTGGCCGGTTTCTAACTTCAGTTCAATTACATGACACCTAGCATAGGTGGCTCCATTCTGGATGATCTGGTCTGGTGGGGCCTAGTACAGGAGCTCATTCCCAAACACGGGCCTTCCATGAGGGCCATTCAATGTAACTGAAAAGGCCAGAAGACACTGGCTTTAGGGACCCCCAGAGTGAGGGCTCAGAAGAGGTTATCAGGACCACAGCTCTCCGGGTGTCTGCGCGTCCTGCCTCCATGCCAGCTTTGTTCTCAGGCACCCTTTCATCTCCAGCAGCAGCTTAATGTCCTTATAGCGCCAAGCAGACAACACAAAGCCTTCTCACTGTGGCAGGGTGAAGTGAAGCCTTGTGTCTGGACTGGTCAAGTGCTCTCTCTCCTGGAAGCCAGTCACTCACTGAGGCTGGGAGTGCAATGTCCTGATTTCCTAGCAACCCCTCACATGCAGCCCTCTCCTGGAGCTGAAGGTGGAGCCAACAGCACAGAACTGTGTGGGCAAAAGGCACGCTGCTGGGATGGGCACCACCACTCAGCCGGTTTGGGAGTACCTGGTTTGAGCCCAGCTCCTCTGCTTCCGATTCAGCTTCCTGCTAATGCATCCTGGGAGGCAGCAGATGATGGCTCAAGTGCTTAGGCCCCTGCCACCTATGTGGGAGATCTGGTTGGGGTTCTAGACCCCTGGCTTTGACCTGGCCCATCCCTGGAGATTGTGGGCACTTGGGAAGTGAATCAGTGATGGAAGATCTCTCCTTCTTCTACCGACGCCCCCCCACCCCCTGGCCAAGTAGATAAAACAATAAAATAAATAAACAAACACATCTTGATAAAGGATGCCCATAACTCCGTCAGCTGATTGAAGGTCAATGGATGCTGGGTTAAAGAGCACCGGCTGTCTCTAACAACCCCCATCGCCTCCACTGTGCTGCCCCTGAAACAGACATATGGCAACACTGTGGTGGTGACAAGACTCTGAGAGCCCCGCCTGGCTCCTGGCACAGGATTCCACAGGAAAATTCCACTCTGGCTTTGTTCAAAAGAGCCAGCCACAGAACCCACGCAGCTTAGGCGGTGCAGTGTTGCCATGTGACACTGTCCTTACCAGGTGACCCATGACATTTTAACATGGGAGGACAAAAAGTGAACACCCAGGTTGTTGCTAGTAAGTCATTGCCTCGCAGAGGATAAAATAATTGCCAGATTTTGTTTTGTCCTCAGTAACATGCGCATAGAATGCCCATCTCATAAGAATACAGCTGTCGGGGCTGGCGCCGTGGCTCACTTGGCTAATCCTCCGCCTGCAGCACCAGCATCCCATAAGGGCACCGGGTTCTAGTCCTGGCTACTCCTCTTCCAGTCCAGCTCTCTCTGTGGCCTGGGAGGGCAGTGGAGGATGGCCCAAGTGCTTGGGCCCTGCACCCGCATGGGAGACCAGGAGGAGGCACCCGGCTCCTGGCTTCAGATCGGCGCCGCAATGGCCATAACAGCCATTTGGGGGGTGAACCAATGAAAGGAAGACCTTTCTCTGTCTCTCTCTCACTAACTCTACCTGTCAAATACAAAAAAAAAAAAAAAAAAAAAAAAAAAAAAAGAATACAGCTGTGATAGTGCCTAGTGGAGAGCAATTACCTGATGAGAGTTAGTTTCTTTTCCTTGGACTTAACCCCTCTGCATTTCATGTGATGTATGTGACCTGTGTGTTCCCTGAATCCTAGCTAGCTAATAGTGACAGAGCACTTACTGAGTGTTGGACAATGGTCTAAGTATTTTCCATGTTTCCATGCAGTAACTCATTTAAGCTTCCTTGCAACTCTTTGAGAAAATACCATGCCCAGGTTGGGAGATGCAGCACAGAAGGGGTATGTGAGTCAGCCAGGGTCTCGCCACGATTCAGTGGTAGAACTGAGCCCAGAACACAGGCCTGCTGTCTGCAGTCGTGATTCCCAGCACGGCGGCAGCACAGACTGTCTTCCTGAGAACATGTATTTCATCTGTTTTCAGCTGTTTGTTTTACATCCCCCACCAAAGACTGCCACAGAACCCAGCACTTAATAAATACTTGTGACTATGGTGAAGAGACAGCCTTGGAGCCTTTCCTGTCTCCTGCCAAGAAAGAACCTGGAGTGTAGTTTTTGGCCATCCTCTCCCCAGGCAGCCCCTAGCCAATGACAGCGCAGCAGCAATCTTGGAACCTGGCCTTTAATTCTGGCTCACTGCAGACCTCCTGTAGCAGGCAATCTTTTCTCTAGAGCTCCCTGTTGGGTTGGCTGAGTCTTTATCAGATTTGCACAGTATTCCAATGCTCTGCCTGCACAATCTGCCTGCCTGCCTTTCTCTCTCACAGGCATTACCCGCTCTCCCGTTAAGTAGCGTGCATTTCTAACAGCTTCTCAACATCTGTTTCCAGAGGCGGCCTGAGAAAGCAGGTGATAAGAGGGGGCTTGGAGACGGCACTGCCCACCACTCCGCCTGCAAGAACCGCAGGGACGGACATTACAGAGCACCAGTAATGCCCTGTGACGCTCGAGCTCTGGCATCTTTGCTTCCAATCCAGCTTCCCACTAGCGCACATGGGAGGGAGCAGAAGATAGCCCAAGTATTTGGGTCCCCGCCACCCACTTAGGAGACTCGGATAGAATTCCTGGTTCCTAACTTTGGCCTGGCATAGTCCTGACTGAACCAGTGAATGGAAAATAACTCTCTCTCAATTAAATAAATACTTTTTTAAAGGCTAGTACGTGGGACATGGAGAGTGTGTAGCCCAAGGTGAAGCCCAATTGTTGAAACTTTCACTGATGGTGACTTGGGAGATTGTTTCGGGGGGTGAGAGAATACCCTGACTAGTGTGACAATTTGCACTTGGGAAACATACGGAGAAGGTGGTGAGAGGAGACTGGGGACAGTGCACAGGGGGCTGTGAATCCACTGGGTATTATTAAGCCGCACTGATGTGCAAAAGGGAGGGGGAAATGAAAAGCTGAAACCATTAGCCAACAATTGGGAACGAGCCATAACGGCCAGACTGTCTCTTTGCTGGTTACAAAAACGGCTCTTACTCCTCTGGGGGACAGCAGAAAAAGCTGAAGCCCAACCTTCAGATTTAATCTTTGGGTTGCAGAGCCTCAAGCATGCTGAATGAGGTCTGTTAGGCCTTCGTCAGGTGTGTAGAGCCTGGGACCCTGACACACAGGAAGGGGCCCTCTGGGTGCATGCCCCTGATTGTGGATGGGAATTCATTTGCTTTCTTCCTTCCTAACAGAAGCTTTGGAGAAATGTTATCTTTCCCCAGCAGCATTGATATTTTCATCTGCAATGAGAAAAGTACAGTTATACCAAACCAAGAAGGTAAAAGTAGAACTCAAGTACAAGTAGTTGTGTGATTTCTAGATATATATTTTTAAAATGTTAAATACTTCATGAATTTGCATGTCATCCTTGTACAGGGACCATGCTAATATTCTCTGTAGCATTCCAATTATAGTATATGTGCTGCCAAAGAAAGCACATAGAAATATATATACCCACATACATTTATGTATATTTAATTTCTATTTGTTTGAGAGGAAGAGACACAGAAAGAGATAGATAGAGCTATCATCTGCTGATTCACTCCTTAAATGCCTGAAATTGCCAGAACTAAGTTGGGGCCAGGACCAGGAGCTGGGAACAAAATCTAGAAACTCAAATACCTGGACCATCACCACTGCCTCCCAGGGCCTGCACTGGCAGAGAGGTGGAGGTAGGAGTCTGAGGCGGGAACTGAACTCACACACTGTAACATGGGACACAGGTATCTTAATGACAAGACTAAACAACCACTGCAAATAGATGGATGACAGAAAGATGGAGAGAGAGATAAAAATATAGATATAGATACAGCGAGCATCAACATTTGAGATGAAAATTAAATGTGATTCTGTATAAACACATGTCAAAACACAAAGAACACTACATATTTTCCATGTCTAAAAACTCTATTGGGTAATTTATCCTCCTTCAAATTCAGTTTTGTTCCCATAGTACATTTTAGTCTTCGATAATGTGGTTTTGTTTCTAAATTAGAACTCTTCATTTGATCTCACTCTAAACATGTACACATCAATCTGGGCTAACAGTTTTGCAGAGGTATAAGGGGAAATACCTTTTAGGAACTTTATCCAAAAACTAGAAGAGAAGCTCAGCAGAAAAATATTTACCTGTCCAGTGGCTACAAACTGCCTATAATGAAACTTGTGCTGACTTAAGGTCACATCTGAACTAACTTTCTGATACAGACATATTTCAAATACTTATTACTTCCTCTTGTGGGTCCTTCAGCTAGTGGAATTTAAGACATGAAACCTGATGGATTTACTTAATTAAATTCTGCATTTTATCTTAATGGGGAAGTCAGTCTTTACAGTACACTAATCCCTGAGTAGAGATAAGAACCTGGGCCCAGCGTTGTGGCACAGGGAATTAAGTCATTCCCTTGTGATACCAACAACCTGTATTAAGAGTGCCAGTTCAAGTCCAGACTATTCTGCTTCTGATCCGACTTTCTGCTAATGTGCCAGGGAAGGCAGTGGATGATGGTCCAAGTACTTAGGCCCCTGCCACCCATGTGAGAGACCAGGATGGAGTTCCTGGCTCCTGGCTTCCACCTGGCCCAGACCTGGCTGTTGTAGCCATTTGGGGAGTGAAACAGAAAATGGAAGATCTCTCTCTCTCTCGTTCTCTCTCCTCTCCTTTCTTTCTGTTGTTCTGCTTTTCAAATTTAAAAAAAAAAAGAATCTTAAAAAAGAACCATCCTTTACCTTTCTCTGAAGGGAGGAGAGAACCTCCACTTTGACTATGACCTTGTCTAAACAAGAGAAGAGTCGGAGAACTCAAGGGGCTTCCATAGCCTTGGAAACTCATGACTGGTGCATAGGGAGATTACTGATGCCATAAACAGGAGTGTCAATTTGTAAAGTCAACAACAGGAGTCACTGTGCACTTACTCCTCATGTAGGATCTCTGTAATGTGCTGTACATTGAGGCTTAATGCTATAACAAGTACTCAAACAGTATATTTCACTTTGTGTTTCTATGGGGGTGCAAACTGTTGAAATCTACTTAATGTATACTAAACTGATCTTCTGTAAAAAAGAAGAAGAAGAAGAAGAAGAAGAAGAAGAAGAAGAAGAAGAAGAAGAAGAAGAAGAAGAAGAAGAAGAAGAAGAAGAAGAAGAAGAAGAAGAAGAAATTAGCAATTCCCAACTTGACTCTCACTGGGATTAAACATGACAATAGGTCTGATCTGATTTCATCATCATTTAAAAAATCATCTATTATTTTTCACTTTGTTTCTGTGTGGGAGCAAACTGTTGAAATCTTTACTTAATGTATGCTAAACTGATCTTCTGTATATTAAGAGAATCGAAAATGAATCCTCATGTGAATGGAAGGGGAGAGGAAATGGGAAAGGGGAGGGTTGCGGGTGGAAGGGACGTTATGGGGGGGAAGCCATTGTAATCCATAAGCTGTACTTTGGAAATTTATATTCATTAAATAAAAGTTAAAAAAAAAGACAGGCAAAAGAAAAAAAAAAGAACCATCCTTTAAAAGAGAAGCTGATGCCCTTTTATGTTTACTTTGGTAATTTTCTAAAAGCCACACAATTTTCTGCATCTGTTGCTTTCAAAATTAATTTTGAAGAAATTCCCTCACTGTAGGTGGACAATCTGAAGATGAAAAATTCTCACCTTATGAAATTCTCACCCAGGGTACTTTATTTAACCTTTTTCCCTAACACATCCCCCTCCACTTTGGATTAATGAGCTTACCAGTTTAATCACGTGCTCTTTTAAAAATCAGCTTAAAAAACATCGGCTGATCTGGTCACTTAGAACAAAAATAACTGCCTATTCTGTTTCTTAGAATATTGTCCTAAATTTCTGTTTCAATCAATTGTCTTAACAATCTCCCTGGAGCATCAGTCAGAAATAAAATCATAAGGCATGCTTTGTTCAGAATAAGAAACACATTGCCCCCACCCTTCTACTTGAAAAAGACCTTCCTCCTAAAACTCCACTTGTGTTAGCCCCATGTTCTACACCCACCCGTCAGCTGCTACCTCACAATAGCAAAGCCACCGCACACCAAGGAGCACTGCTTCCAGTTCCATCACTCCACCCAGAGACTGTAGTGGCTCTTCCTATCCCTTTATTGGCTGCCAACATTGCACGTGGTTTTCTTCTCTTGCTTAAAAATAAATGTTAACTTCTTAAGTTCTTGATCTTTTGTTCAGGATTCATTGCCAGAGATGGTTTCACAGCATGAGCCTTCCTAGGGAGAGAGTTGCTCATGTTCCTGCTAAGAACCTAACCTGGGAATGACGGAGAAATAATTATAATCAACGTCAAAGAGCATATGGCTTTCTACTGAGAAGCCTGCCAAGTAGGCCCTTCACACATCCTTTCCATCCACCGTCGGGTGAATCTGGCGGACAAATCCCTAGCATCGAAATAAGTGAAAGTCCACCTCTCACACATACTTCTCCCAGGTCGGAGAGCTTTCTGAGTGAAACCAGTCAATACAACAAAACGATGCTGGGTTTTCTCGTCCATAGACATGAAACTGCTTTATTTCTCCGGCATCCTTTAAGCTGGGTGACCCATTAAGCTCAGTCCGCACATAGTGCAAGGAGACAATTCTTTTTTTTTTTTGACAGGCAGAGTGGACAGTGAGAGAGAGAGAGAGAGAGAAAGCAAGGAGACAATTCTAACACCAATGTTCAAAACCACTACAGTTCAGCAGTGTCATGCTTTGGGCTGGGTGTGTTCCAGCGGCCTCATGTGCTGTTTCTAAAGAAGGAGTAATGCTAGGTTAATTATATGGAAGCAGAAACACCTGGTGCATGTCATTATGGACTGAAGTCTTGAATGATTTAATTATGATCTTTATTGTTACAAATTGGCTCTTCCAAGTATTTTTCCATGGAACTTAACATTTTATTTTACCATACACGCTGCTTCTCTTGGGATGTATGCCAGGTGGTGTGTGGTTCTTATAGGAGAGAATTTTCTGTTTGTGGTATTTCTGAATACTAAGAAATCAGAAGTGAATTTGAATTTCCCTTATGGGCCTTGTGTTTCAAACCGTTGAACACTGAGAGCAAATCACCTCTCTTCTACACAGTGGAAAGGTGAAATGTGACTTCTCCTAAGCCAGAATTCTATTATCTTCCAAGCATCAATAAATCAATAAGCACACTAAATATAAAGCCTGCTTCCTGGTTACACAATGCAGACAGCAGACAAACAGAGGACATTCTGATTTAATATTGGTGGTTCTGGTGTCCAGTGTTTAGAACATTTGAAGAAGAAAAACTGAATTGGAAATTAGATTGCTGAGCAGTGTGAAGAAGAGGTGAGAACAACTCTGCACCAACCAAAGCCTGCGTGCTGCTGCATTCCCACACCCAGCAGCTATGTCCCGCCCACACCCAGCAGCTATGTCCCGCCATGCCCAAGAGAAAGGCTGAAGGGGATGCTAAAGGAGATAAGGCCAAGGTGAAGGATGAACCACAGAGAAGATCCGCACGGTTTTCTGCTGAACCAGCTCCTCCAAAGCCAGAACCCAAGCCTCAAAAGTCCCCTGCAGGCCGGCGCCGTGGCTCACTAGGCTAATCCTCCACCTGCGGTGCCGGCACACTGGGTTCTAGTCCTGGTCTGGGCGCCAGATTCTGTCCCGGTTGCCCCTCTTCCAGGCCAGCTCTCTGCTGTGGCCCGGGAGTGCAGTGGAGGATGGCCCAGGTCCTTGGGCCCTGCACCCGCATGGGACACCAGGAGAAGGTGCCTGGCTCCTGGCTTCAGATCAGCGCGGTGCACCGGCCGCAGCGGCCATTGTGGGGGGTGAACCAACAGAAAAGGAAGACCTTTTTCTCTGTCTCTCTCTCTCACTGTCCACACTGCTAGGTATATAAAAAAAAAAAAAAAAAAAGCCCCTACAAAAATGGGAGAGGAGGTACCCAAAGGGAAAAAGGGAAAAGCTGATGCTGGCAAGGATGGGAATAACCCTGCAGAAAACAGGGGTGACAAAACAGACCAGGCCCAGAAAGCGGAAGGTGCCAGAGATGCCAAGTGAAGTGTGCGCACTTTTGGTACTTCTGGTGACTTACAGTTTGAAATACTATTTTTTATCAAGTTTTATAAATATGCAAAATTTTGTTTTACTTTTTTTTTAAGTTATGTTGTTAGCACACAGAACACTTCATTGTTGCTTTGGAGGAAGGGGCAGAGGTCACTAACAGAAGGTCTCGAAGCTGGATTGCTGGGGAAAACACCTTCCCCTGTAGTTCTGAGAGACTTCCTCTTGGCTCCCAGGAGGGATTCCCTGCCTTTGACACAGCCACCAGGGCACAGAACCTTGTGGCGCGGAAAAACTGAATTTGATTTGATGTCCTCTTCTTCCTCCCTCTCTGCCTTCAGCATAGATTTAACTCCCTTAAACCCAGAGACCTGTGGGGAGCTGACCCCAAACAATTTGGTACCAGCATGACAGGTAATCCGGACTTCACAGTGAAGCAATGGTTCCTTCTCTAGATTGTGGATCTTCAGATTGATCATTCTGCCATTTCATTTCATTTCCTGAAAGTCAGGGGTGGCTTGTGAAAAGCTGTTAAACAACATGCTAAATGTGAAATGTCAACCTCACTCTAAACTCCCCCTTGCAGAGCATCAAATGAAGACTTCATTGGGTTTTATAGTGGCTTTCTGATTTTGGTAGTCCATTGAAGAAAGGAGTTGAAAATTGTTGTATACTGTTCACAATAGTCTGCCCATGTCCTGCCTGAAACACCATGATTGTTCATGAAAAGAATCTTTAATAAAGTTGGATACAGTTTGGCTTGGAAAAAAAAAAAAAGAAATGAGGTTGCTGTGTGCTCCTAAAGAGCTCCATTCACAGACCTAGCACTTAATGAGTGAAGATTCAGTCCACTGGGCAGCCGCCTGTCTGACCAGAGGGCCCTGTGCTCCTTTGCTCCTTTGCAAGCATTCAGTCTTGCAAGTCATACTAAAAATCACAGGTTATCAGAGGGGAGTTGGATGGTGATATTGTGATTCCTCCCAGCCAGCTGCCACTGTTAAAGTGGCAAAAATAAATGGATTCTTCCCCAAGCTACATTATGTGCTTTTAGGAAGACTTAAATTTCCCCCATCATATGCCTATAAAACCTAATAAAAACTCCAAAATGACCAATGTCCTTAAAATAACCCTGGGTGTGATTCTGTATTTGTAGAGCAAAAGTGAGTCAGAAATGGACATCCTCATATAGCAACTGTTCAGAACAGGATGAAAACTGGAACCTAAAGATTGAAAGTATTTTTGACTCAGAAAAACATTCCAGCTGTATTTTCTCAGCAACTGAGTTGACAGAACCTAGAAACAAAATTCACCAAAAGCTAGTCCCATGTATTTGGCAACGCTCTTATGCATATTACCAAAAAGCTCCATAATTCGATTTGAGGTGGCCAAGTTTTTCTGGAGTAGGCTGTGCTGTGTTTATTAATAACAGAAGCACTTCACCCACTCATTCAGCATAAAGGCAGGATCCAATGCCCCAGAATTGGGATCCCAAGTTTCTTAGTAAGTTAGTTGTTTAGAAATGAATGTTGCTTTCCTGAGACACAGTGGTATCAAGGGTAGTTAAATTGCAAGCATGAATCCCAAATCTGATTGATTTCTAAACAATAGGAGTAAGACCCACCTGAGTTCTAGCTCCTGGGTGTGCACACCTGTGCCTGCTCCTCTCCATCTATCACCTGCTCTGTGCTCTGGAAGGCTGGTCCCTTACAGGGCTCCCTTGCTGGCTGGCTTTCAGCTGGCTTTAGTCAAAGAGGCACATGGATCACAGGAGAAGAACAAGAGAGGTGACGGTATATTTCTTCGGTTATCCCTGTCCTGCTTGGCTGCTGCCTTTAAGATGGCAGCTCCAGTGAGCAACCTTCACAGCTCCAGCTCTTTTTTTTTTTTTTTTTTAAGACTTATTTATTTGAAAGGCAGAGTGACAGAGAGAGAGGGAGAGACAAACAGATAAAGAGATCTTCCATCTGCTGGTTCATTCCCCAAATGGCCACAACACCCGGGGCTGGGCCAGGCCCAAGCCAGGAGCCTGGAACTCCATCCAGGTCTCCCACTTGGGCTAGCATCTTCTAATTTCTCAGAACATTAACAGGGAGCTGGATTGGAAGAGGGCGGGGCTGGGGCTCAAATTGCAGTTTAAGATGCTGTGCCATGATGCCCACCTCATAGCTCCAGTTATTCTTGGGCTCTGGGAACACTGTTCACTGTCTTTGGTCCCCAGTTCCCTACTCCTGCTGGTCTCTGATATCTGAACAACCTATGCTCGCTCTCTTAACCCTGACCATGCTTCAGTCATCCCTTTGTTAAACTTTCTTCATTTGTGCCATCTGAGCAGAATTACATCCAGCAAGACCCTGAGAGTGGACAAAAGGAAAACATTTCCCTGTCCCTTTCCTGGGTGCAGAGGTCGCGGGTGGCACTGCCAGCAGGATCGCTCGTGTCCCTCGCAGTTTTGCATTATGCCCCTCCTCCGTGCTGTTCACGCAGCAGATCCGGTCTCTGCCCTCACAGAAACCAACAATGGGTGACTCACCAAGATCGCCACGTGTTTTGGAAAATCTTCCATAGGGAATAAATAGGGTGCACTGAAGGAGAATCATGGGTGGGGAGGAGGTTTTGCAGAACCTGGTCAGGCAGGCCTCATGGAAGAGGCGACACTTAACTGGGACCCCAGGGTTGAGGAGGAAACAGCCATTGTGCAAAGGGCTAGTGAGGAGGGCAGAGATGTGTTTCAGGCTTAATGAGCTAAAAACATAAAGGCTTATAAGTGGGAAAGGAGCTTTGGGGGAAACAGTGGCAGCTGTTTGGCTATGGAGGACACTAAAGACAGATAGATATTTGCAAGCTATATGCGGCAACTGAGTTGGGGGCCAGGTGCACAGGGATAGGAAATGAGGCTGGACAGCGTGCTCAGAGAATGCTAGGCAGAGCAGACCATGGTGAAGAGCATGGACTGTGTTCCCAGTATAATGAGAAGCAAAGTAGGTTTTTTTTTTTTTTTTAAGATTTATTTAATTTATATTAAAGGCAGAATTACAGAGAGAGAGTAAGAGTGAGAGTGAGAGCAAGAGAGAGAGAGAGATCTTCCAATTGCTAGTTCACTCCCCAAATGGCTGCAACAGCCAGGGCTGGACCAGACCAGGCCAAATCCATGTGGGTCTGTCACTTGGGTTCAGGAGCCCAGGCACTTGGGCCATTTTCTCCGGCTTTCCTAGGAGCATTAGCAAGGAGTTAGATAGGAAGTGGAGCATCCAGAACTTGAACCTGCACTCATATGGGATGTTGGCATCTCAGAAGGCAGCTTAACCTGCAGTTCTACAATGCTGGCCCCCTCCAAGTAGAGTTTTGAAGAGCAGAGTCACGAGACCTGATTCATCTTGTTAAAAGATCCCTATAGCTGTTCTATGAAAAAGGACACGGAGAGAAACACGTAGAATCAGGAAGAAGAGTCAGAAGCTATTAAAATAACCTAGGCAGAAGACGGCTGCTTTTGCTTTGAAAGTGGTGGGCATGGAGATGGAGAAAAGGCAGATTTTGGGGGGGTTTGTGTTAGGGATGGAGCTGACAGGACTGGGGAAGGGAGGAATCCAGGATGTCCCCCAGATTTGTGGTCTAGCCCACTGGCTGGATGACAGGTGGATTATAGAGAGGGGGAAGACTGCTGAGATGAAGCTAAGCTATCCGTGAGATATCCAGGGGCAGATGTCAAGCAGGCAGGTGGCCACTTGAGCCTGGTGACACAGAACAGGTTTCAGCCGGGGAATCTTTTGTCCCAATTCTAAGTGATTAATCAGGCATCTCAGGTCAACCTGGCTCAGGCCAAAAGGGACCTGGACATACCCATTGAACTCTCCCTGGGTTTAGGTGAGATGCTCGGATTAGTAAAAAAATACTTGTATATCCTGCTATACTTTGTTTTGTCATGAGTACGTGTATTTTCTTTAAAGAAAGAAAAGGATGGCTAGTCCAAAGCAAAATTTGAGAATTCCTAGGTCCGTGACTAAATACCATCTGAATCTTGCCCCTAGAGTTCTGATTACAAGATGACTTCATGGTATATTTATAGAGCAGCCCCCAGAGGCCAGTGGGGTTGACACACAATAATGTGCTTATGGGGAGACATGTGCCCATAGTAAGAGATAAGGTTTCAGAGCTTTTCATTCTGGTTGTCATGGCAACAGCGAGAGCCCCGGAGGTGGGAAGGAGGAAGAGGGAGGAGTGAAGAGAACCAGAGGCTGTTAGACCTTGGAAAATGATCAAAGACAGATACTGCATACTGCATGGGAAACACGCCCTGTACATCAAGAGTAGTTACAGGTACATAGTTTGTTAGATTTGTCTGGTTTTAACATTTGCTTATTTATTTGAAAGATAGAGAGAGCTCTTTCATCTACTGACTCACTCCCCAAATGTTCACAACAGCAAAGGCTGAGTCAGGCCAAAGCCAGGAGCCTGGGACCCAACCCAGGTCTTGCACGTGAATGGCAGGGACCTGAGTATTTGAGCCATTACCCACTGCCTCCCAGGATGCACATTAGCAGGAAGCCAAAACAGGAAGCCAAGCCAAGACTCGAAGCCAGGCACTCCAGTATGGGGCACAGGCACCCCAAGTGGTGGCTTAACTGACGTGGCAAATGCCCTCTTTGACGTCTTGGTTTTAAGAACCAGATATACCCACAAACACTTTCTCGAACTTGGAGGCTGGAAGGACATTTTGCAACTATTTTATCTCTTTTGCTCAGTGGACTGCCTAGGGCTCTAAGTACTTGAAGAAATAAGCAAA